TCGTATTCGTGATTCGGTGGCCCTGAATTGTCAAAACACCATTCAAACTGCTTGCTACGGATGCGAAAACGCAGAAAATCGAACCCGATCTGATTTTATTTTTTTTATGACGGACGAAAGTTTCGGAGGCAGTGTGCAAGCGTGATTGACATAATGTGAGGTCGTATTTATTTTTTAACGTGCGAAAATTTCGGACGCGAATCTCGGACTCAGTGTGCAAGGGCCTTGACTCTGGCTTAGGTTTTGGATCAAATGACAGAGGACAAACAGTCTGAAGAATCAGTAACTATGGCGTGTCTTATACCTTTACATTCATGCCCACGAAGGGAAGACAGATATTTCCCTGCGGTTTGGCCTCTCATTTACACAAAAACCCTGTTTTTATCAAAGTGGAGATTTCTGATAACGCCGGTTGTGTGTTGCCGTGTCAACTGGGAGTAACGGGGTTTTAGGGGGGGTCAACATTTTCATAAGGATAGTACGTGATCCAGCATAAACATAGAAGACAAAACGGCTAAACAATTGCTTTGTCTTATGGAAAATCTATCTAGCCTGTTTGTCTTTTCTTTTTTCTGTCGTGTTTTTTTTATATAAAAAGGCAGAAAGTTTGTGGTTGATTTTGGACCCTGTGTGTGCATGTGTATTTTTGGGTCCTTCGACAAAGGAGAGCAAAAGAAAGATGTTTAGGTTGTTAAACCTTCTTACCTCATGATTTCACAAGCTCTGTCCACACACACACATACACATAGAAGAGCCGAGTGCAGTAAAGACCAGCTCTCAGTCTCATTTCACAGCTGCTGAGTGGAGCTTGTGTGTCACTCACAGGATACAGCATTACTGCTTCCACCCACGCCGCGAGCTTCACTCTGATCAGGTCGCTAGGCAACCAGGAAGTCACGTTGTCCCGGAGACTAGTGAAGTGTAACATCATCCAGAGAGGAGGACCCAGAATGAGAACAGGAGTGAAAGAGCAAATGATGCACACAGCTTATGTCCTGAGAATCATTTCCTGTTTATCAGGGCTGTGTGCTCAGCACTGAGGATAGATTGCAAATGTGTAACCGTTTTTAGTGTCTAGCATAAGAATTTGAATTCTGTACAATAGTTATGGGCGGAATACTGGTAGCAATTTCTTGTGTGTTGTGTATTTTTTTCAAATTCTGCCGTAGCTGAAACGGTCCGTTCAATGACCACGAAGCGCTATTTCGAGTGTTGAGAGGAGACCTCTATTAACTGCATACCCTTCTTCTTACTAATGATTATAACCTTATAACGCAACAATAAATAACCCACGCAACTAAGTCTCTTTAACATGGCAAATACTGTGTAGACCTTTATGATTTCCATGATGCCGAATACACGGACGGAATCACGGAATCCAGTCACAATCTGAACTTAATGTATAAAGCGGAATGTAACGGAATTTTTGGATGAATAAAAGTAGGGCTGTGAAATTAATCAAATCTCGATGTGGACTAGTATCTGTGAATATTAAAGCTCAATAAGATTAGCTATTGATGATAAGCTACTGAAGTCTGCATGTTCTTCATGGCTGTGTGAATGAGCGCCGCAGTTTCTTCTACTACACTCATACTGAAGCAAGCGTGACGCTCATGGTGTTTTCAGCGTCTGCACTCTCACTATGAGGATCTGCAGAGCTGCTCTAAGTTCACTTCATGAGCATTTCACCATTTCATTTGATTAAACTATCGTTATCATATACAGACAGAAACACAAAGGTCTTCACGACAATCCTTCAAGATAAAAATTTGGTTTAACTTAAAGAAATTATAACACAGTAGAGTGTACTTGTTCAATTAAACATTTTAATTATAATAGTATTAATAATAATAATAATATAGTTTTTTAAAACACACAGAAACTCAAATGTCTTCATTACAACCTGCCAAAAGAAAAGTTCAGTCTAACTTAAATAAATTATTAAATAAATATATTACTATTGCACAGTAGAATGTACTTCTTATTGTACTTCTTATGTACTTCTGTAATAATAATAATTATTATTATTACAGTAGAATGTAATAATAATATTTGTTAAAACATTATGTTTAATGTTAATGTAAATTTGATTACATTTGAAAAGGTAAGCTAAATATTTCGTTTTAGAAATTGATTTTATAAATGTTTTGTATAAATTGAATTTGATTACTTATAATTTATTAAAAAAAGAAGTACATTTGTATTTGACATTACAATGTTTTTATATTTTATGTACTCCTGACCAGTGTTTGGGGTAACGCGTTATAAATAACGTGTGCTACATAATATTACTTTTCTGGAGTAACGAGTAAAGTAACGCATTACTTTATAAATTTACACATTAATATTTAAGTTACTTTTTAAAAAAAGTAATGCGAGTTACTTTTCAGTTTAATCAATGTGCATTCAAAAAAATGTAAGTACTGAATTAAAATGAACGTAGTCACGTAGAATCAGACGCTAGTCAGAAACGGAGATGGCAGGTCAGAGCATTACATTACTGCGATGGAAGTATTCTCATTATTTTGAAATCGTCGAAGAAAAGGAGAAGGGAATAGTCGTTAAGTGTAGATTATGTATAGGTGAAAAGCTCTTGTCAACTGCAAAAACACCACTTCAAAGTGGTGCATGCAAAGCACAGCACTACAAAGTTGGAAGAGAGAGAGAGAGAGAGAGAGAGAGAGAGAGAGAGAGAGAGAGAGAGAGAGAGAGAGAGAGAGAGAGAGAGAGAGCCAAATGATACCTGCACCCTGCCTCAAGTTAAACAACAGAAGCTTGATTTCAGTTCACGTTCACCACCAGGTAAAACAATTAGTTCGACTGAACTCAACAAATTGGTTGCTGCTTTTATTGTTAAGGAGATGCAGCCACTGTCCACTGTGGAGGCGCCCACATTTCGTAATATCATCAGCAAAATCTCTATGACGGAAAAGGCCGGGGGGCGTGCTCCCCCTGATCGCAAAACTCTTAGTATTAAGATAATACTCTTAACATTACATTAAGATAATAATTTTTTCCCCCATTGCATTGCAGAAGTGATCTGGACTTTTTTTTGTGCATAAACTGGATTTTGTTTTGAGGACACTTAATAGAATACTCAAGAGTTTTGATCTATTGGAATCAACTACATTTTATTTAGGCCATGTGAAATCTTTCAAATTTTATAGCTGACAAATTTGATGTTTAATTGGTGATGTTGTTTGTTCTCTAGTATCATCTATTGTTCTCTAATAAGTGATTAAACATTTTAAATGTTTAAGATATGTCTTTTGTCTAATATAACTTATTTCGTAATGGCAATTATCTAGCCTATATTACTCTTTATTATCACAATGGACAGTGAATTTACTTTATGCAGTCCATAGTCTACCCACAAGTACAAAAGTAACAAACACATAACTTTCAATAATCTGTCATATGTAAAGATCTTTTATATGGCATGGCATGCATCAGGAAGTTCTCAGAATATAATATTATTCTACATTATTATTCAATATATAATTGTTTTTAAAACAAAATGAAGGTGTAGGTTATATAGGCTGTTGTTGATTGCATTACTGCGTTAAACAATAGTACAAAAAGTAAAAAAAAAGGCCTGAAAGAGATCAAGCCTGTAAGGCCCGGCTCAATCGATCCAATGGCGGCATTTGATCAGCGGGTGAAGGTCTCTGCGTGTTACTGTCTTTCCACGTGGCAAAGTATTATGATTAAATGAAATACATTTTCTCATATGTATTTTCTCGTTATTTCATCTGACTTCATAAATAAAAAGGTTTTTAATGATATCTGTGCATCATTAAATGTGAGCGAATGTTTGACTATTCTTTTTAACTCTTTACTGAAAATAATGTCAGAGTCGATTAGAATAAAATCCAATGTTTACAATTTATTATGTCTGGTAAATGTATCATGCCAATTACATAATCAGTTCAAAGATAATCAATGCAAAACATTAAATGCTCTGGAATAAAGAGAAGAGATGCGCTAACATGTGCTAACAATGGAAATTTGCATTCAGAGGTTACACCTTTTGAGAGCAGGAGACCATCTGCCTTAAGACACCAGTTACCTTTTTGGGGAGTAACTCAATATTATAATGCATTACTTTAAAAGTAACTTTCTCCAACACTGCTCCTGGCAGTGTAATAAGCCACAATAAACCTATATAAAGGTCAAGTCATGAAAAGAAAACAATTCTGTAATATTCCTTAAAACCGCCAGAATCTTTTTTGTCATACCGCCCAGCACTGTACAATCATTTGACTGAAAATGTGTGTGTATGGTGAAGTGTTGGCTTTGTTATATGACATGTACAATGAAGTTAAGAAAGACCAGTGTTTGGTATTATTTATATACTGTATTATAATATTTATTAATATTTGAAATGAGCTTTTATTTTAATATTTTCAGGTTTCTTTTTATTTTAAGTTTTAGTTAGTTGATGTTCTTTTGCCATTTCTATTAGTTTTTTGTAATATTTCTATATAGCTTAATTTTTTTTCTCCGTTTTATAGTACATAAACTCAATTCAGTTAGTTGACGGGTCCACGTTTTTTTTTTTTTTTTTTAAGCTTTATACCAAAAGCTTTGGTATAACAATAACTGCACTGAGAGAGAGTGTTTATGCTGCCAGTCTTTATGTGTGTGGTGTCTGTTTTATTTGTGACCATATGAAACAGTGACTTTACAGTTTTACAGCTTCTTGGAAACATACTGTAGATTACCTCAGGTTTCAGAATAAATGCAGAGGCATTGCCATCCATAATCATCTGATTACAAATGCCAAAATAGCTTCCTTAAAGTGACCTTCGCTAACCACTTTGTGAAGGAATATCATAAACTAGTATTTAAGTGCATCAAATCTTTTTTGGACTGGTCAATCCATGATAGATTGGTCAACAAAGCAGCCATTTTGTGGGGGTTTCCATTTCTTCTAAATTCCAGTGGGTAAACACAAACAGTGTTAAAACAAGTCTCTTTATTTGTTCTCCCCTTTACAGGAAAATCGTTATAAAGTTCGGAAAGAAGAAGCGAAAGAAGACAGATTCCTCAGATGAGCTGTCTGATGATGACAGACCAACTCGACGATCCTCTAAAGATGACGATTCGGTGAGCTTTGGATTTGATCTATTCTTGATACGATTGATGACTCTTTTATGCTGCCTTATATAAACATCTAACAAGAAAAGTATTTGTAAGTGATCATTTCTGGAACAGTAGCACAAAACATGCATATTGTTGCTGGAGTTCCTTTAAACTGCATAATGCAGCTTCCTGCAGCATATGTATGTTCAGTACAAGAGCGAGAGAGACTACGATGACTGCCGTCCCCTCAAATATTTTACTTATCTTTCTTCTGAAATGACTAACCTCTCATTCTCCCCATCCATGATATACCACCCTTGCAGATATAATTATCCTCTTTAAATACCCCTGTGTTAATTAAAGCAGTGTGCTTTTGATGACTCAGTTGTGCTGTTGGAGTTAAAGCTGCAGTCATGTGCATTTTGGGAAACACTGGGGTCTCGTGGCAGAGCGGGTGGCTCTTTATTTGGTCATCCTGAGATATTCTCATCCTATCCATTTACTTTAACTCATACACATTTAGGTCATGTTATATTTGGGAGGTCAGACACTCTCTCTCTCTCATTCTCTCATTCTCTCATTCTCTCTCTCTCTCTCTCTCTCTCTCTCTCTCTCTCTCTCTCTCTCTCTCTCTCTCTCTCTCTCTCTCTCTCTCTCTCTCTCTCTCTCTCTCTCTCTCTCTCTCTCTCTCTCTCTCTCTCTCCTCTACTAATTTATTAAAGGGCCCCTGATGGCGATCTCTGATTTGCTGAGTGAAAAATAAAATTGTGCATGCGCACTTTTTGTTCACCCAAAATGACATATTTTCAAAGCGCAACAAGCCTCCGGGGGTAAATTCACCCCTAATGACATCAATTTTTTTCAGAATAGGGTAACATGAGGGAAAATGAGAACAATGTGGATTTACCTTTAAACAGTCACATATTTAGATATAAGTTTAGCATGTGCAGGCTGATGATGCATCAGCCAATGTGTTATCAAAGGAAATAAATAGAAACATTTCCTAATTGAATTTTACAGAATTCATAAATCTCTTTTGATTATAATACGTATTAATATAGATTTATTTGTTTATTTATTTATTAAAGTGTAATTTACTATTTACAAAATACTAAATATTCTATTTAAAATGTTATTTGGACAATTTAGTTGAATAATTAAATAACATGACAGACAAAGTAGAATCACAGTAAAATAGATTTATCTCAAAGTTAAAATTATTATATGACTAATGTACTGAAGATATGTCATAGAAACATTGTGAAATCAAATTGAATGATTTTACTTAATTAACCTATAGGTTTTAATGAAAGCGATGATTCATGGAAATATTTAATAATAACCCCTTTAATTATAATTAAATTTTAAAATAATAACACTAGTAACAACATGCACCTTGTGGCCTTCTGTGACAATGACAAATCTGTGCCAAATTAGACCTTAGGTCTAATTTTACCTTTTTACTTCAAAATAAGAACTATAACTTTTACTCCAAAAACATTGATGTTTGCACAAACCCCTCATTAACAAATAGACACAAAACTTTGATATTTAACATTATATACATTGTCATAGATCACAATTTACCAGAGACACAAAATGAATCAATTAACCTCAAAACTGTTTTGACTGACTGAATCTCACAAATGTTGACAAAATCAAAAATAGTTTAGCCATTCATCAAAAGTGCGTGAATGAAAAGAGATTTTTTTTTATTTATCATTTTAATTTATTTTTGTATTTGAAAAAGGTGTAGTTATTCTGAAGTTCTTAGTAAATGTATGGATTTTTCTTATAAATTTATGAATTTAGGTCAAATATGTAGTGTGTATGTGTGCACGTGTATACACACACGCACATATATATTTTAAAATGTTTTATTCATCACGAACCAAGAAAAAAACAGATCACGGTTTCCACAAAAATATTAAGCAGCACAGCTGTTTTCAACATTGCTATAATAATAAGAAATGTTTCTTGAGCAAAAAATCTGCATATTAGAATGATTTCTGAAGGATCATGTGACACCGAAGACTGGAGTAATGACCATGACAGGATTAAATTACATGTTAAAGTATATTTAAATAAAAACTGTTATTTTAAATTGTAATAATATTTCACCATATTTCACAGTACTGGTTTACTGTATTTTTGGTTAAATAAATGCAGCCTTGATGAGCATAAGAGACTTAGTTCAAAAACATAAATATCACTGACCCCAAACCTTTGAATGTTATTGTGTATATCATTGAGAAAATAATCAAACATACACTTGAAACCACACTCACTTGTGTGTGTGTGTGTGTTTACAGAAGCGCCGTTCGAACCGGAAGATCAAGAGGAAGAAGTATGAAGATGATTGTGAGGCTCGACTGTCTGATGAAGAAATGAAGGTCATCGTCAAAGCCAAGAAGAGCAATCCCAACGCTCACAAACAGCCTGCAGTGCAACTGTTTGTGGTGAGAACACCGCCGTTAGCAGAGACTCGTTTCTCATGATGTATCCCAGCATTCTCAAGCAGTTCTCTGATCGTGAACATAATAATATATGTTTAGCAGGTGTAAAGCCAGTTCATCCTTTCGTGTGTGTGTGTGTGAGAGAGAGAGAGAGAGAGAGAGAGAGAGAGAGGTTGTCAGGTGTTTTTGTGTTTGAAAAGTTGTGTGTTTGAATATATGTAAAAAGAAACATCATGATGAACTTCATGAATCTTAATGTTGGTTTATAGGAGAACCCAACTGAGGAAGATGCTGCTGTGGTTGATAAAATCATGGCATCTCGTGTGGTGAAAAAAGAGGTAAGAGTTCCACAATCCTCAATCTCTTTTATTTAGTGTGTTTTTCTTTCTCATCTTTAAAACTGGTATTACACATGATGGTAATGAGCCCCAAATGCACCTCCTGTGAGCAGTTCTGATCAGATTTTGTCAAGTGAGGGTCTCTGATTTCATGAGTGTGTACACCACGCAGCATGTTGATAAAAATAAAGCCATTTCAGTGCACTGTTGTTCTGAAATATGCTGGAATTTTAACCCTTCCTTAGACTTGGCATTTCAAGCAGAATCCTCATAGTTATTTTAGGCCCTGTTTACACATTTTGGTCGATCGGATCACAAGTGGACGATGCTAAATACAGGTGTGAACGGGGTCCAAAACGTTTTGAGCTTGTCCGATTTCGACCATTTCCAGAGGTAGTCGAAAGGTAGAGGTAGTCGAAAAAATGCATTCGACCGGTTTGCTTTCGTAGTGTAAAGGCTCATGTGGTCGAATGCGTTCAAACAGCCACAAAAGACTCCCTACTCTCCGCCTACTGACTTAATGCGTAAACATTATGGGAAGCACGCTATCCAGACGGGATTGAAACTTTGTCGGCTGGAGACCCAAATTTGGTTTTAAGACGAAAAACATTCTAAGCACAATGTTCTCTTACCATTCTTGATTTCTAACACACACTCACAGAGTTCGGCGTCGTCTTGTGTCTATTAGAGCAGAAACGAAAGCTGCTGCGTCCCCGGACGCGTTCATATCTAAATTGCCCGAGCTTATTTTGTCCATTAGATCGAAAGATCTGAAAAAAACAAATGCATTTACCCTTGGTCGACCGATTTATCGCCAAGGGTATATTTATTTATATATCGGCATCGGCCGATAAGGGGCCATTCACACATAACACGTTTTTCCAATCCAGTGCGCTACTTTTCCATTGTTTTTCTATGTAGACGGATGTGTATAACCGTTGCGCCCGTGTCTTGTGTCTTTTGCAGTGTCTCGCGCATGACACGCCGTTCTAAAATCAGCTCAACTTTTTAAAAAACGCGACTCAAGACCTTGCATTTTTCCTCATTCCACTGGCCTGCATTCTGTGTAAACGATTCCCAGTGCGCACAAACTTACCAGATTACTTACCAGAGTGCCCTGTTGGTTACAGTATTTAAATTGTTATTCATAATTTTACCAACAATTTCTTTATTTGTGAAAAATACTGTAATACGATTACAAAATCAAGAAGTTGCCATCTAAAGTACGTCTGTTTAATTTAGAGATTTATTTTTTTAATTAATTTTCAAATTATTTATTTCAAATTTATTAAATATTAATTTCAATAAATATAAAGTATATATATATTATTTATTGGCTTTACATCGGCCATCGGCCACCCTGCTCTAATATATCGACATCAGCAGGTCGACCACTATTTACCCGCCCATAGACCCTCCCCTCGAAAAAATCAGGACAGAAGTGGACAAAAGAGACAGATTAAAACACCAGGTGTAAAAGGGAATGGTGTCTCCTTCGTCTACTTGTGATCCGATTGACCAAAACGCAACTTAATACCAGGTGTAAACAGGTCCTTAGTTGAGGATCTGTATTAAATTTTAATGTTTGTGCTTTGCATGATCTATTCATTCATTTAGCAAATGCTTTTATCCCAAGCAAGTTATCTATGTCACTGAAACATGTTCTGTGAAGTCTGCATATGAATTGGACTTTTACAGATTTCATGAGGACACATTAAGACAGCGCTTAGATGCAGGTGCAATGTAATCACATTCCTTTTCAACTACCTCTAAATGAGCACTGACCACTTTTCATAGGATAACTTGAGATCGATATTAATACCTGGTGTAAATAGGGTATATATGATTTACACAGACATAGACACATTTTGAATGTGATTTCAGACATTGTGTGTGTGTGTGTGTGTGTTTGTAATATTATTTTTATTCTTCATTCAACAGGTTTCTCCTGGAGTGATGGTAGAAATTGAAGAGTATTATGTCAAATACAAAAACTAGTAAGTTAATTATGCCCTGCTTTTGTCAGCTTTTCCAGTTCTCTCTGTTAGCTTTCAAGCTGTAAAAGATTATGTTTTTCATATTGCTAATAGCCAGGAGCAGCTCAGAGAGCAATTTAGTCATGTGTTGAGCACGCATAATTTAGCACGTGTGTAAGGATCATTCAGTAATTATGTAAACGTGCTTGTGTTCTAGTTCGTATCTTCACTGTGAGTGGGCGACGGAGCAGCAGTTAGAGAAAGACAAGAGGATCCAGCAGAAAATCAAGCGCTTCAAGATCAAACAGGCGCAGAAAGCACACTTCTTTGCTGATGTAAGGATGCCTGTGTTTGTTTGTAACTTCAGCAAACACTCTGTTCTCACTAAAAAATATTTTGTATGATGATTTGCAGGTTAAATGCCATGTCATTTAGTCATCTGACAATTATAATCACTGGGGAGACACACAGGATTTATGTGTAATTATTAATGATGTGTGTGTGTTTAAGATTGAGGAGGACCCATTCAATCCTGACTATGTAGAAGTGGACCGAGTTCTCGAGGTCTCATACTGTGAGGACAAGGACACCGGAGAGGTAGCGATTGCTTTGTAAATTGTATGTGTGTTTGTTCATCTGGGCAGGCATTTGGTGTAAGTCTCAAAGCCTTCTTTTTGTGTGAATGTGTAGCCGGTGGTGTATTACTTGGTGAAATGGTGCTCATTGCCATACGAGGACAGCACATGGGAGCTGAATGAAGACGTGGACCAGAGTAAGATTGAAGAGTTCAAAAAGCTGCAGGCAGCAAAACCACACACCAACAGAGTGGTGAGACCATCTCGCTTTTGCTCTCTCTTATACCATTATTATATTGTGTTATATTATATTAAAATATTTATTTATGCTTGAAGTGCGCTCAACTAGATATATGCCTGATTATGCCTCTCTTCTCCATTGTTTGATGAATTACTGTATTAATTGTACACAAACTTCTCTTTTGGGAAGCATCTTTATTCTTTAATTAATGAAAGCAGGGCTGTCACATCTGATGTTTCACTATACGGTTATCATGGCCAAAAGAATTCACAATAACGATATATTGTGATATCTATAGAAATCTTGAAAAAATAAATAATGCCATCAGTCAAATAGAAATTAAAAAGCAATTATATTATTTTATAGTATTATATACAATCTTAAAGGCCATGTCAATTGGCATTGCATTATAAATATACACTATCCTTATGAACATACCCAACATGGCTTGAAGAACAACCAAAACCAAAATACTGTCACAATGGTGTGTTAATTCTCTTCATGTTTAATCAGTCAAAATGTCTCTATCTGCGTTTTATTCAGCTACAGCAATCACTGGATGTCTTTGTCTGTATTAGGGATTTTCTGGAACGTCATAAAGTTTTATTACTCCTATGAGTCTCACTTGTTGACTTTCTACATGAGGGTGCCCGTCGGCATCGAGTCTGAATGAAACATAAATTACATATTTGCTGCATAATGCTCACAATCACATCGTCCTATTTTGGGTACAAATAGAAAAAATACTGCTCTCTAATGATATTTGAAGTAAACATGGATTATCGTATACGTTTTTATCTGAATGAGCACACTTTCGGACTAAAAGCCCAGAGGGATATACATATAATAAAACAAACTAAAAAAGTTTTTACTTGAGGTGAGGTGGTTTTTCAGGCAATACAACAAAGAAATGCCACAATTAATCAAGACCTTGAAGCAGATAGGAGGGAGAAACACCTCATGTGCCGCTCCCAAGTATAAGGGGCTTTCCTTGCCATTAATGCTTGGATAACACGTCTACGTGTCCTTCGTTTAAAAATAATGGCTAGTGCAGTGGCTGGGATATAAATAAAGATGACTCCACTTGATAATAGAGGAGGAGGTGGGTGAACAAGTTTGTGGTATTGTCCCCTTTTGCGCTCTGTGTTGATCAACAAGTCCTGAAGACTGGGGTGATTAACGAGTCATTTTCAAGAAGTTCAAAAATCTTCCACACTGGCGAGCTAACCTTCTTGGAGTGCGGGTAGAGTGTCTCGTCTGTCATATCCGACGACATGCTTTTACGCGGCAGTACCAGCTGCGCACTGTGACTGCTTGTGTTTTATGACAGGTGGCAACCAGCGTTAAGGTGCAATATCGACACCTACTATACATTGGAATGTCAACCAGATACTGGCGCTGGACAATTTACATCACATTATCATGTGTACTATTTATTTTAAATATTACAGTTATCGCCCCTAATTAGCACGATAACGATATATATTTTTTTAATATTACGGTTAACGTCAATACCAGTATATCGCGACACCCACAATCTAGAAAGGAGACGTTTTTGGGCTAAAAAGAACTATAGTGTCTTTATTTAAATATGCATGGTGAATTGGTGTACCAAAGCAGATAGCGCCTTGTTAAAGTGTATCGTGGGTGGATAGTGAGTAATTTTTGGTGCTAAAATGCTGTTTACTGAATTTTCCTTGCCGTCTTTATCTAAGGAGCGTCCTCCAGCGAGTCACTGGAAGAAGCGGGAGCAATCGCGAGAGTATTGTAATGGAAACTGTCTCAGGGATTATCAGCTAGAGGGGGTTAACTGGCTTCTCTTCAACTGGTACAACAGGTAAGTAAAGCTCAGCCCTGACACACAGATCCTTCCTCTTTAACTTTCCTCATATATGTCAATAAAACTACTGAGTGGAACTTCAGCATAATATGGTGTTCTTTTCATTTGTAGACTTGTGTCTTCATGGCTTTTCTTATGTTATATACTTTGTATCTATGTTCTTTCGCTTGCGTTTCTTGTGTGTAGATTAGTGCTGGGTTTCGATTCAAATTTCAAGAATCGATTCGATTCCGATTCTCAAGATCTTGAATCGATTATCATTATTCGATTCGATTCGATCCGATCCGATCTTCGAGATTTAGAAAAGTGTTTTTGAAAAAAGCATATTTTTTTTCCAGCTGTTGAATTACAGGACTGTAGTTATGCAACATATTGATACAATTATTATAGACATTTAACTGCAAATTAATGGAGTATTGATGGTTGTAAAGAACAATCCCCCTTCCAGAGTGTTGATACAACTGCTTTCACAAACTTGCACTGGTGTAGACGACAGAGGACGCAGAGGTATATCAGCAGCAGTAACCGCAGAGGATTGCAAGTAACCGCAGCAACCGCGATATTCACGTTTTTTTATAAGGCTATACCCTTCTTGTTTTGAACTTCATGCATGTGTATTGAATGTTAAACAAGTTCATAATGATAACAAACAAGACTGTTTATCGTGGTGATGTGTAGCCTACAGAGGCTTCGCACAGACAGTGAATGAGAGAGATCGGCAGAGCGCGTGTGATTACCTGCGTCTGTCTTTGAAGTCATATGTATTTGTGAAAAAGGTTGCCGTGTCAAAGGAAAGCGAAATATTTGTCGTATCATCCTTTTAACTTTCACGTCACGGGGTATTTACCATAAATGCGCGTCAGCAGCAGCGCTGGTCAGCATTCCACAGCGCGAGGAAGCCGCGGGGAAATGAAATCAGCGAGTCACGCATTGAATCAATGCCATATTGGTCTCTAATAAGTGAAGCATCAGCTTCAGCGTTACCCACGCGACGCATTGCTGCTCAGCTGAGCCTTGAAAAGTGGAACTCAAAGTTAAAAATAATTAACACCTTGTTTCATTACATCTCTTTTAATGAATCAGCTTTTTTGAACGTGTTCGTTGAATGAACGGTTTAATGACTCACTCAAAGCCCGTTGTCGTAACAATGTGCGCGCTGAGTGAAAGCCTTTCAATGCGCATACAGGGATCTCCCAGTCGCGGCAAGTTAAAGTTCACGGGGAAAATGTAAACCTATTAAAATCGATCCTCTGAGTTACGGATCGATCTTTAGAAATTAATATGAAAATCGATTCAGAATTGGTGAATCGATTTTTTCAACACAGCACTAGTGTAGATTAGATAACTGAATGGCAGATAGGCAGGATAGCTGTGTTGTGGAAGTCTAGCCTCCCATTCAGACTTTGGACAGCATTTAGACCATCAATGGCAATGATAAATGAATTAAATGACTTAAAATTGCTTTTGTACAACAGCTACAGTACTTACAAACCTAATTTGAAAGCCATTTAAGAGTTACTCAAAGATATTACCAGCCTTTTCTGTTTTTAGTCCTTGTTTTTGACATGCTGAAGCTTGGTGTTTGTATTGTATGCAGTGTGTGTGTGTGTGTGTGTTTGTGCACCATAGCACACCATTTCTACTGGACCACTATCAAGAAGGTCTAATGTTGTGCTTTTTGCAGTTTATTTTCATTTTATTTTATTTTTTCTTTAATTTTTTTAATCAATTTGACACATAGTCTTGTTAGCCTGGTACATTGTGTGTGGGAATATTAAAAAAAGCAAAAATGTAATAAAAAGACTGTCTCAATTTTCAGGCGTAACTGTATTCTGGCGGATGAGATGGGTCTGGGAAAGACCATCCAGTCTATCACGTTTCTGGAAGAGATCTATCGCACAGGGATAAAGACGCCGTTCCTCATCATCGCCCCTCTCTCTACCATCACTAACTGGGAGAGAGAGTTCAGAACCTGGACGCACCTCAATGTCATAGTGTACCATGGCAGTGTGGTCAGTAGACAGATGCTGCAGCAGTATGAGATGTATTTCAGAGACGCGCAGGTGAGATTTCACACACACACACACACACACACACACACACACACACACACACACACACACACACGCACACACGCACACACACACACACACACACACACACACGCACACACACACACACACACACACACACACACACACATCAAGGCCAGCTCCACATTGATCTAGACCTCTTAACTGTAATTCAAGGCTTTTGACTTGGTTACCTTCTAGTATCATGTTTTGTGAAAGAGAAAGATAGAGGTGGAAAAAGCAAGCCACAACTCAATTATGGTTATTTTATTCCTTTTCAAACTAAATTTAATTGTATCTCTGAGAATGTCCATATATAGTAATGCTTGATATAAAAAAAGTAAATGTAAATGTTAGAACTGTGTCAGCTGGTAGAAAATTTAAAACACAACCACATGGTTAATATATATTATGCAGTTTTGTTAATTTTCCTGCAAAAATAACTGTATCATGATATATACTGTTTCTATGACATAAAAATACCCAAACCCTGATATATGATTTCGGTCATATCACTTACCCCTAATAATTGTTTAATGGCATACCATACAAAACCTCAGGGAGCACAAAAAACAACTGTGGAAAATGTTTACAGGCACTTATTATCTCTCCCGTGCTCCCTCTCTCTCTCTCTCTCTCTCTCTCTCTCTCTCTCTCTCTCTCTCTCTCTCTCTCTCTCTCTCTCTCTCTCTCTCTCTCTCTCTCTCTCTCTCTCTCTCTCTCTCTCTCTCTCTCTCTCTCTCTCTCTCTCTCTCTCTCTCTCCAACAGGGTCGTGTGATAAGAGGTGCATACCGGTTTCAGGCAGTCATTACAACATTTGAGATGATTTTGGGAGGCTGTCCAGAGCTTAATGCAATAGACTGGCGCTGTGTCATCATTGATGAAGCCCATCGGCTCAAAAATAAGAACTGCAAGCTACTGGAGGGCTTCAAACTTATGAGTCTGGTACAAATGAGACAATATTACACCTATATTTACACCTTATGACAGATGTCATTTCCCCTCAGTTTTTAACTTGATATCTGTTGACCTCTTGCCCCGTAGGAGCATAAGGTGTTGTTGACGGGCACTCCCCTACAAAACACGGTAGAAGAACTCTTTAGTCTGCTGCACTTCCTGGAGCCGACCCGCTTCCCTTCTGAAAACCCTTTCATGCAGGAATTTGGAGACCTCAAGACTGAGGAGCAGGTGCTGCATTTGTATATACTTTTTACTGTGTATGAATTAATATGTATGTTCTGTATATATTAACTCTGCTCCATTTGTATATGCGTGCACATGTAGGTCCAGAAACTCCAGGCCATCCTGAAACCGATGATGCTGCGTCGTCTTAAGGAAGACGTGGAGAAGAAGTTAGCCCCTAAAGAGGAGACCATCATCGAAGTGGAGCTCACCAACATCCAGAAGAAATACTACCGCGCCATACTAGAGAAGAACTTCTCGTTCCTTGCTAAAGGAGCTGGCCAAGCCAATGTCCCAAACCTGCTCAACACCATGATGGAACTGCGGAAATGCTGCAACCATCCCTACCTCATCAAAGGTACTACCACACAAAACCATACTGCTGTCAAAACCAACACACCTTCAATAGGCAAGGTCCTAAGAAGTCTCTCGCTCTCTCTTTTGCTTCCAGGGGCTGAGGAGAAGATCTTGGAGGACTTCAAGGTGTACAGCCCCACAGCAGTAGATTTCCACCTGCAGGCTATGATTCAGTCGGCAGGTAAACTCGTTCTCATTGACAAGCTGCTCCCCAAGATGAAGGCCGGTGGACACAAAGTACTCATCTTCTCTCAGATGGTGCGCTGCCTGGACATCCTGGAAGACTACCTCATCCAGAGAAGGTGGGAATCAAAAACAAGAGTTTATATAAACGTAAAGCACAAAAAAATGTATGGTACTTGTAAGTAGAGGTGTATTTCATTGCTGTGGCTCTCGTTGTGTTCACACAGAGTTCATGGGGTTTAACTGCATTTTGTGATGTTCTGCCCTACTGAATTTGTTTTAGATGCTTACAGGGTTATATATGCAGTTTTAACAAGTGGCCTAATCTGCTTTTTTTGGCAGGAGTTCAATGCCAAAGTTTGCTTACCCCAGTTTGAGTTATGTTCACGTGTTCCTTATCTCTCTAGGCCTGTATACAGAGCTCTTTGCTGTTGAACCCCTTAGCACCACCGATATCACGTGACAGTTCAATGCAGTGGCTAGGATTAGTTTATTTCCTAAGGAAAAATTCTCATTAATGTTTCCTCTTGTCTCAGCTTGTCTTTGACAATCTAATAGTGTGTACAGTGTACCATTTGTGAACAAAGTGTTGTGTATGTTGGCCAATGCAGCTAGGGTCCAGCAGGACACAGACACTCCAGGGACCACACAACAGGCACACAGTCCCAGAGGCACAGCTCTGCCCAAAGTGGGTCAGAGAAAGCAGGAAGTTACAGGGAAAAATAGGATATTGTTACTGTTAATAAAAAGAGAGGAAGAGATCAAGGACATGAGTGGAAAGAATGAAAGAAAGAGTGACTGAAATGATGATTAGGGATAGGAAAGAGGTTTACGAGTGATCTAGGGACATACTGATGCAAAGTTGTTATTGGATAAACATTATGCCAGAGATGATGGCGATACAGCTTAACTTGTATTGAACCTGGAATATTCCGTTTACAAATTCAGTTCCTTACGTAAAGACAAAAAATATATGTAAGTTGTTTCAGTTATTTTGGATGACACTCAAAATATATAGGATCATGTGAATGTGTTGATGCATATATTTATAGTTGTGTATATGTTCTGTATATTAACCGTTCTAAAGTTTTGGGTCAGTAAGATTTTTTTTTTTGTTATAAATTAATATTTTTATTCAGTGATCTTTTATTCAGTGAAACGTATCACGGTTTTCACAAAAATATTAAGCACAAATGTTTTCACCATTGATAATAAGAACAAAATTATTCTTGAGCAGCATCAGAATGATTTCTGAAGAATCATGTGACACTGAAGACTGCTGAAAATTCAACTTTGCCATCACAGGAATAAATTACATTTTAAAACACAAAACAGTTATTTTATATTGTAATAATGTTTCACAATACTACTGTTTCTACTATATTTTTCAGCCTTGATGAGCATAAGATTTCATAAACATTAAAAAACTTTTGAACGCTGGTGTATGATTGTATGATTTTTGTGCACCTACTGTGTGGAAGTGCTCAATAAAGTACATTGATCTGTAATTTTTAAGTCAAACTGACCTTTTTCAGATACCTCTATGAGCGGATAGACGGCCGTGTACGTGGGAACCTCCGTCAAGCAGCAATTGACCGCTTCAGTAAACCGGACTCCGATCGATTCGTCTTCCTGCTGTGTACACGGGCAGGTGGGCTCGGTATTAACCTCACAGCTGCTGACACCTGTATCATCTTTGACTCTGACTGGAACCCACAGAACGACCTGCAGGTACACACACACACACACACACTTAAAAATAAAAAAGCATCGTAGATGTTCCTGTTGGCTCACCTTTCTTTTTTTTCCCTTGTTTGTTCCACAGGCTCAGGCTCGCTGCCACCGGATTGGTCAGAATAAAGCTGTTAAAGTATATCGACTAATCACACGCAACTCGTATGAGCGCGAAATGTTCGATAGAGCCAGTCTGAAGCTGGGATTGGATAAAGCGGTGCTTCAGAGCATGAGTGGACGGGACAACAGTCTAGGAGGAGGAGGGGTAAGTCGTCAAATGTCAACAGTGTACCAGGGTTTTCTCTAACCCTCAATGTGGTTCTCTACATAGAGATTTGCATGATGGATGCTGTGGGCCAGTGGTATTCAAATGGCTTGGTTCTGTCCGGACCGCGGGACGTAATTGAGACATTTTACTGTTTCTACTGATTAAAGTGAGCAGCACTTCAAAACAACGGAGCAGTTCACACCAAAAGTGTTTGGGGTCGTTTATGGTAATGATCTTTCGCCGCTACGTCTAATATTTTTGTATAGAGCCAATCGCAATTCATTCAAGCCCTTTCTGTTCCTTGCGCTTTGCTTCTCTCTCCCGCTAAAAAGATCCAAAGAGCCACAAGAGCTGCAGATGACGTGGTTATTTTAACCCTCTGGGGACCAGAAACGCGCCCGCGCGTTTTGCCGTTTTTTTTTCACATAGCAGAAAAATAGACTTAAAATACTCTGTTGATTTTGATCGTACATATAAGTGTTATACATCAATCGATCCTGTTAATTGTCTATTATTTTTCTGTATACTCACAATAAAAACAAAGTTTTGTGCTTTTTGTCAAATAAAGAAAAATAAACATGATGCGAGTTTTGCCTTCTCTCTGTCAGTGCAGTCCATTCTGAAACACGTCCGAAAAATTAACTCTAACTCTGCAAATACTTGTCATACAGGCACGAGAGGTTTTTCTTTATGAAGCTTGAATTCTCTTCTTTTTAATGATGTAATTTATATAAAAAACAAATATTCTCAGTTTATGTAATCTGTATGAAAAGAGAGTGCTGTCAGATTTTTTTTCCCCAGCTCATTACACTTCATTACGCGTTAATCTGACACGCCCACGGAGGACGCGCGCTATTCAAACGCAAATGTCGAGGCAAGCCATGACAATGCCCACATCAGCCGTTCCACCGCGGCGGTAAAATGTGGGGTGTATTTGCTGCCTTTTACCGCCAAGAGGCGCTACAATCATAGACTCTGAAAAGTGTTTGTTTATTCTCTCTAATGCGAAATCTGCTGCCGCACCGCACTGATTCAGAGCGTTTGAAAGCTGGTAGCAGATGAATTCAACAAGTGAAACGTAGTTAAAATAATTCATAATCACAATACTGAAATTAGGCTACTGAAATGAAATTGAATAAATAATGAAAAAGTAAAACATTGCAATAAAAACAGTCACAGACGTATAGACGATAGCTCAGTGGTTAACGCAACAACACGAGCTTCGAGGAGCTTCAATCGACTCGGATCGAATCTCAATGTAGCATACATGTTGTTAACCGATGTTGCCCTACAGCGTTTATGTTTAACCTTCTTGATGCTTAAATAGCTAACTGTTTATAACTGTTTACTTATTTAAAGTCAAGAGTTTTGTTTAATTATTATTACAACATAAATTTGCTACATTCCTGGAACCGCAGCCGCTGCACAAAGGACAAAAACTGATGAAGGAAGATTGTCAGCCGATTGCATCAGAAAATGAAAATGAAGAAGCACGTCTTTAGTCTGCTAAATTATTGTGTAATGTAAAAGAACACTAAAATTACTTAAGTTTGAAACCAAGTTCGAACATTTCAAGGTTTAAATAAAGTGTCGGGACAGTTTTTTTTATTTAAAACAGGGTTGCATCGGGTTTAGAGTTTATTTCTTTTGCGATGCAAAATAAGAAACACTAGGCTAATCTTATTCTTGCGA